GCCCACATTATTGCGCCTCATTTATTTATTTTTTCACAGTTACTCAAACTTATTTCTGCTCTTGCTTTCCCCCCAACAACCAAATTAAACAAAATGAGCAAACCGAGCCAAATAAGGGTGCCATTCAGCACCATGTGAGATGGGGTAGGGAGTTGGTGGTCTTTGGTCGGCCTTGGCGTGAATATTTGACCATTTGGGGTCGTGCCAAAACCCACAGTTCTTTGTGTTTGTCTTCCATTGTTTGTCTGTTGCCGTGAAACTACAATTAAAGTCTCGACTCGACTCCAGTGAAGTCCCAAAGTATATTGCCAAGTTTTAATTACCCATACGACTACAGTAGCAATAACAACAGCTACAAAACGCCAGTTGCCACATGGCGTCTTAACTTGGCTGATTCACCACCTGCATGAACTAGCAGTACATATATATATATACGTTCATGAACGTGCATGCATGCACAGTGAAACCTTCCCACCCAAGGCTAAAGCTATTTTTAGACCACTATACAAGTTTCTAATTTATGGTTGCTTTGGACATTCTTAAATTGCATTTAAGCACTTAAGGCGCATTTTTATTTGCCCTAACTTTGCGGAAGCTGTAACCACGTTGATAGATTGTGTCTCTTTTATATTTTGAATAAAAATTCACCTGAAAGTGTTTAGAGTTGCAGGAGTGAGTGCGACACTCTCTACTGATATACTTGATTTGTACTTTAGCATAATGAGGTGCCAACTAATTTAGCAATAGTTTTCTTTAATTTAAACAATTTACTTTTCTTGCATATTGCTACGCCTAGGCTAATAGCCTTGGAAAACAACATCAAGTGTTGTTGTAAAAAGTTTTAGTAATGGCTCAAGACTAAAAAATAACTTTAAAAGGCACGGCTATGATAAATAGCAATAAAGCACATATTTTGCGCTGCTTGTTGGCGAACTTTTAGTTTTTTGTTCTAAAACATTTGAAAGGAAAACTAACTAGAAACTAAATAGTTGCTCTGGTAGAAAAAAAAAGTCCATTGCTCACTTCACCTAATAAGTTCCCTTTGCAAAAACAAGCTCTTGATTTATGTGTTCGCTTTTTTCTCGCTGGTTTATGCCTCTTTTCTACAAAAAAGGCATAATTTGCAGTCTTTTGACATATAAATCCCCATGATTGACCAACATAATAAGCTTCACTGTACTCGTATATTGCCATCTCTGTGTAGGTTTCTTGCTCCTTTCAGTTGCCACATAAATTCGCATACATACGGCGCAAGTTGTTGATCGGGGTCTAGGGTTATCGGTCGTGGATGGGGTGTGAGTTTTTCAAACTATAAAACCCACTGTTGAATGCCAAATAATGAACTAGAGTCGACCAAAAATTAGAAGCACAAGTCGTGTGGGTTCAGTAGAGTGGGAGTCTGCAATAACTTGAGGCTAAGCACGTAGACATGCTGATAATGCGATGCCAGATGCTTGCAGCATTCTCGTTTATGGGGCATTTTAATACGTCAGGACATCAAAATGGCAACGCCACATAAAAATACAAAACAATTTTTTAATATACGTACAGAATGCGCGTTTGAACAACATTACCTGTATGTATGCGTATGTGTGTGTGTGTGTGTGTGTTTGTGTGTGTTGCTGTTATGTCATAAACATTTTATTGCACATTTGAGGAGCCGACGACACAAATGGGAGAGAAGATGGACACAAAGTGAAAAAGGGCTTGTCACGACCTGGGCATAAAGCGAAATAAAAACAAAAACCAAATCAATGGCAACGTGTGTGAAAAAGGCTCGCATGTTATACAACAGTCCTTTTGCTATTGCCAGCAATTATGTTAATACATATTGCGTATACGCAACGTTGGCCAAGCACAGACATGAATATGAATGACAAGTCAATTACTAATTTTGCCTGCCACGCACACAGCCACAGTCTAGGCTGGGCAGGCTAGAACTCATTTACATACACTCACAGAAAACCAGAACAGAGTAAATCGGGGAATTAAGGAATAGACTTGTATTCACTTATGAAGTTGTTGATAGCATGTATATACGGATATATATTCGATAATATTAGATATTTGAAGAATTAAAAACATTTTCATTTAATTGATATATAGATGTGTCAGGAAACGATAGTAAAAATTGCAATATGATGCTCCTTTATTTCTCGATTTATCAAATACGCACTGACAAATGAATAAATAATATTTGTTTCAATATACAAGTATGTTTCAAATGACTAAAGAAGCCACGAATTCAACGCAATCTATTACATTTTGTGTAAAAAATCACATTTCATTTTATCAATAAAAAAGAATTTGTATAACGGCTCAGAAGCTCTGGAATAGCACTTCAGCAGACTTTTATTGAAAATCTAAATTAATAAATTCTCGCTACCAAGGCAAGTTGTAAGTCGCTGCGTGTATCCATGGATTGTAGACAGATATTACCAACTGAATATTTAAAAAGTGATAATAATGGAAACAAAATTGAATTAAAACATAGACATGACCTAGTTCTATGTATTTCGAGATCAGTGCTGGCTAGAATGGATTATCCTCGAGAACTCTGTTGTAAGTTCTTGCAACACCGTTTGTTTCAAATAAAAATAGGCATATAATTGAATTTACGATAAATTATTAATAATAGAGGCGAAATCATTTCTTCCTAATTAAAGAGCTTGAAATGGGAATTCATTATGTGTATCTATTATTATTACACATTTTTCCTTCTAAACTTAACTAGTTCCTTTCTCCAAGTGCACACGCATTAACTATGCGTAGTAAACTAATTACTGACTGGTCTGGCCTATTCCTGGAGCTTTTGCTTAGGGTGTGTGTCTAAAAACTGCGTTAAAAATAAAGCACGTTCCCGGAGCCAGAGGCAGCTTCTACTTCAGCCTCAATGCGTTTATTGGCCAATAGCTGGCTACCTAATGAATATAGTATATGTATGTATATACAAATGTACATCAGTGTGTATATAGAGCAGCATGTGTTAGGTGAAGTCGATCTGCCGTAGTAGTGGAGGCTTGATGGGTCAACTTACCGTGGAAATTAACTTCCGCTCGCTTTGGCAATGGGGAATAAAGTCAGAACTGGTCGCACTGTTTTTCTTTTTTTTTGCTTCTCACTTTACGAATTATATCAGGAAATTAATGTTAGATTCGATTCGATTTTTCACTTAAATCGTCCCGTTTTTTTTGCACGTCGCAGACTCTTATTTATTTTTATTTGTTATATTTTTGTTGGATTTGTTGTTTGTGTTGTGGGAAACGTTGATTAAGAAAAGTGTAAGAGAGAAACGCAGATAATGGCAATTCTGCATTTTTATTTCATAAAGAAAATATACCGTTTTAGCAATTGCTTCGCTTTCTATTCCACAATCTTTGCCCGTGGCGGAAAAAGCGTGAAAAATGAAAACAAAGCAAAGAAAGCCAGGAGTTAAGCGTGAAAAGTGGCCGACCTCATTTACATTTTCTGCATATTTTAATTGCTCGTAGCTCGAAATCATTGTAGGGAAACTCTACACAAGCTTTGTGGGCGTTTATTTGCTTTGCTGTCAACTTCTCAATGTCTATGTGAGCTTTGTGCGTTAATTAAAAAAAAAAACACACAAGGCGCCAGGCCAGCAAATGGTCAGCTACTGACCAATGTGAGGTCCCGCCCGCCACAATCAGTTCTTGTTTCCTTCTCTCATATTTTGTTTTCTTTTTTGTTTTTTTTTTCGTTTTGTTCTATTCATTGTTCGTGCTCGTAGACTGTTTTAATTGAAAATTAGTTGGAAACCCAGGAAGTGCAGGAATAGCGTTCCATGCGATTTGCATTATTTTTTCCGGCAAACGAGTTTTGTTTATTAAACTTCAATTGTTGAAGTTTTTCAATTAAAAGTGCGCCGTTGCAACGGACATTGTGCGAACACAATTCCAAAGTAAAATCAATGGCAGGCAACTACTTTTTCCTAACCGAGCTGATGAGATGTGGAGCGGGGGACAACCCTTTGTTAATTGTTTTACGCATAAAGTATACGCCGTGTTGAGCTGCGCGTGGGCAGCGTCTGATATGATACGAATATGAATTGAGTGGCATAGTCGGCACTTGATATCAATCAAGTTTATGCATGACACTTCAGATTTACGTTTCAAGTGCTCTTGACAGTGATAAATGCAGGCGAATCGTGTTTAAATAATTATACGACCTGCACTTGCCAGAATAAGCAATACTAGCAACAACATTTACTTAATTGAAAGTTTTCAAAAACAAAAATATTTACTAATAGCTAGAAAAGGCACTCTTCAATATCAGAGAAGAGACGTTAAAATGTATTCTCTAAATTTTGGAAATGTTAGAAATGTTTTCCAATTTTAAACAGTTTTTTCCCTAGTATTAAAGAACTAATTGCAACTTTATAGTAAATAGTTTGAGTTTAAAAAATTTTAAAATATCATTCTTCCGTTGTATTAACTAAATCAGAACTAATTTTTTTTTACATTTATTATTCTTCACATGTGAATTACGAGGCATGAGTAAGCACTATTTGGGCTGTACAACTATTACCAAGTACAGCGAACATATTGGTCTTAGTATTGGGAAAATATCTATACATATGTATGTGAACTAGTTAACTTTAAAAAGGATCTTGCAAAAACAGCTTAACGGATTAAAATTCGCTTAGTTTTTTTAACTTGGTCTTAGAAAGAAACTTCCTTTCTAAAATGTGTGGCTAGTAGCTTTTATTTCTGTTTATAATTAAATGCAGTTTCGGGATTTTTTTTTCTCGTTATGATAAATTAACGAATACGGTTAAAACATACAAATTAAGCGAATATTGAGCGCCCCGTCGACAATGGATAGCACTGGGCTACGAAGCAACACCTGCTGTGGCGTTGGTTTCGGAGCGCACACAAACATACACACATACTATAAACGACAAACATAAACAGTTGAAGATGACACAGGCACCCAACTACCCAACTAAGTGTGCGTGTGCGTGTACGTGTCTGTGTACGTACGAGTACGTGTGTGTGTGTTCACTTATTTACACTTTTGACTGTGTATGTGGGAACTACTGCTCACTTCACACGGTCGCTTCACTTGGCGTTTAACATCTGCCGCAACGAGAACCAAACGCTTTGAACTTCACCGAGGAACTAAACAGAATCGAACCGCGGCATAGCCTGTGTACCATGGCCCATTGGCAAAAGCTTTTCAAGCGCCACGATGTGGCAATGAAACGAAACAAAAATGACAGAAAGAGAGAGAGAGTGCCACGAGGACGCACCTCGAGGATGGGTGCCCGCCTGACCACCTCTTGACTGTTTGTTTTCATAGGCAAATGCGTTTGTCAAAAGGGGCGCGTGCTGTTTGGTCTATGTTGCGGCAGGGACACTTGTAGCTCGTCTTCGAAGTGGCCGCCATGTTGCTAACGTGATGTTCGCAGCAAATGTTGCAGCATGTTGCCAGAGCTATTAAAACTGTTGCATGAATAATACAATGCATGTGTGCCTCATGACTTGACACTGTAAGCAATTAAGTGGGGAAAAGGAGGCGATTGCCCCGCTTTTATAAACAATAGTGAGCCATATGCTACTATTGTTGCTGTTGGTGGTCGTAGATAAGATAAACAAATGCTGGCTACTTGCTTACGCAGCCGACGAGCCATATACATAGACTTAAGTAGCAGAAGAAAAAAAGGGCGGCATCAACAAAAAGCGGAAAATGTAAATATTTCTTATTGAAAGAGTACTTCCCAGTTCAAATTAAAAAAAAATTGTATTTAGCAAAACATTTTTATCACAAAAATGTTAATCGTAAAGAGTGGGCAACATTTCATGCGCTCATACTTTTGTATTAAATTTTAAATATTTTAAAAAGCAACCAATTTCACCTTTTTTGAATTACTTTGCTTGTTATCCTATTTCATCGTATTTATAATATATAAACTAAAATATTTAATTCAAAATACCTAGGCCTGAAAAAGTATAATTTCTATTAAATTGCAGATATTATATGTCATATACATAGCACGCATTTAGATCGACATTATTTTGACTAATACAAGCCAGACAAGAAGTTTTATAAGCTTTACTAGTTCAATAATTTGAATATATGTATGTGAATTCTAAAGGATCCAATTTCCAACACAAATTGTCTATTAAAGTAATTATTTTAAATTTCAAAACGTAAGTCATTAAAGCTTGCCATCATCTAACGCTTTCAACTTAATTAGTTTAATATTTTAGAATTTAGATCATTTTTAAAATTTATGTTTGCAACTAAATTGTAAGTATATGTGAAATTTTTAATGAACGCATCTCAGATGTGTCCGTTATACGTCCATAACAACAACAAATTGTGTCAGTCCCGGGCAGCCTGCATCCACCTGCGCCGACGCAGTACCAAGACAGGACGCAGGCAGCTGCTCACATTAACAAATTGAATGTGTGTGTCTGTGTGTGTTTGTGTGCGGGTGAAGCTTTTGCATTACTGCTGGCGGCGCTGACCTGTTCCATTTCATTTGATTCCGTTTCATTTCGTTGCTGCTGTCTGATGTGATGGGCGCGCGCCTGCAACACATTTGAAATGCAGGACATATCCTTTAATAATTGTATGTGTATTAAATTAGGCACAAATCCGCACCACTTAAATTATTTATTGTCGCTCTGCCACTGCAGACTTTTAATGCACGTGGTGCCGTGCGTGCTGCCAAATTGGGCAATTCTACTTAACCCAATTTAAGCTCGGACAGACTCACTGAACTGACTGACTGACTGACTGACTCGCTACCTGTTCTTGCTCTTGCCTTTGCTGCCATTTTTCTGTTGGTCCGCCCTTGGGTCTTGCACTCAGGCACTGAACCCGCACACCTGCTCCCATTGTTTGGTGCCGCTTGATGAACGTCGCACATGCGGCAGAGCACTTAGAAAGCAATGGCAAAAAATAACGTAAATAAAACGCACGACGTTGTGTTGCTAAAAGACTTTGCTGCTCTTGTTGTGCTCCAACGTCCTTCAGCCTATAGCACTTGCTGGCTGGATTTTTTTCTCTTCATTTTTATTTTCCTTTTTGCTCCTTTGTAGTGCATGTGTCGCCATGCCACGGGGAAGACGAGTAAGGGAGAAAGGTATGCGTGTGTGTGCGCTGCTGTGGTGTGTGTTTTCCGTGTGTTGCGACATTTCAAGTATGTATTACGTACGCCAAACAGATGTAAATACATTTGAATGCCGCACGGCTGGCAGACAAAGCACAACGAGGACAACAACAGCAGCAACCCTTTCGCTAGCAGGAAGCAAACATTTGTACAGCTACAATGCACACACACGCACTCCCACACACGGACATTTGCTAGTGTCCTTGCCAACCCAAAACGCGTAGAAAAGTAGCACATACACTTACACACACGCATTTGTTTGGCTGTTTGGTTTTACAAGGATTTAATGCTGTTTTGTGCCGCTGGCGCAAATTAGGCCCGAAGATTTATAGGCAGCTAAACGCACGTTCCACAAACACACTCAGCCACAACAAGTAATCCCTTCCCACGCACACATCTATCTACAAGTATGCACACTACGCACATAACACAGAAGCTCTATTAAACTGCTAGTGTATAAGTATGTCTTTAACTGTAATTAAATTGTTAAAATAACCTTTAAGAAACAGCAAGCGATACACTCAAAAATAAAACGAACGTAATCAACAAATTTCTTCAAAAGTACGCTAGTATTTTCTAAAATTTATAAATTCCATATCAAACTGATAAATGTTGTATCCTAAAGCTATTAGTTTCCACAAAATTCGACAATTTGTTCAAATTGAATTAATTACCATTACAAATAATAAACATTATCGAACTATTTAAAGATATTTATTAAAATATTTAGTTACATTTTTAAGGAACTTTAAAATAATTTACTAGAAAGAGTAATAGAATTAAAAGTGAAATTACTTCAAGCACGCGAAAATTGTTAAAAAAGAAACTCATAAAACGTTTTTTAAGAAAAAAAAACCGTATTCGAATATTTAATGATTTATATTTGTAGCTTGCAAACACAGAAAGAATTGGTCATCTGATGCTAAATGGCCTTCCTGGCCGCCTTAATAATTATTAATCATCAATGATTTCAATTTATAATTTAAAATATTATACAATTTTTATTGATGCTCAAATGTTCATAATATTTTAATTAAGGAATTGAAAATTAAATGCAAGACAATGCAAGCTTTATTTGTATTTTATGTATTTTATATTTGATGGGATCCCAACCATCGCTCAACACGCTACTCAAGCAGGCTTCTGCTCATTAATATTCAATGGCTGGCTAATCGAAAGATTGTCCTTGCAGTTGAAATCCCCTACAAATTGAGTGTCGGGAGTGTCGTTGTTTCTTCTCTTTTGGGTCATCTTCATTTCTCAGCTTCTTGTAGAACAACAGGAAATTACCTTTTATTTCTGGTTTTATGAGTAATTTGTTATGAACATTTCCAGCCCCTGCATCCTAAATATTTTTTATGTTTAAAAGATTCTCTTTTCAGCTAATTGCGTAATCTATGACCCCACACAGGGTCACGGTCTTAGTGTTCCTCCAACTGGTCAGAGACTACTTTTTTTTTAATTTTTTGTTTATTTTTAGTTTTAATTATTTAATAAGCTATTAATTGATTGTAGCTTTCTTTCTCCGTTCATTTTAGAATGCCTCTGACTGCAATTGGCTGTAAATCTAAATGGCAATTAAAACTCTCCCACCGAGTCGGAGGCGTTTAATAGATATTATTGTTATTTGCCTAGCTTATAAATCTTTATTATATTTGTTTATTTATTTATTTATTATTATTATATTATATTATTTTTTTTATTTCACTTATGCCGACAACTTGCATTTGTCGAATAAATTAAGTGCTTTTCTAACAAAAACTGCTGGAGCTTTATAAGAACAACAAAAATTGCACGAGTTTGTCGATTTCTTTGCTTTTATATTTTTAATTACTTTTCATTTAATTCAATTATTTCTTCGAGTGTATGGGGGAGGTAATGGCTGTTGGATTGGCCGCCGGGGGAATGGGGCAGCCACTTGCGCGGCATCGATGCGATAAACTGGCTCAACTTTAAACAGGCTGCTTCTGCTTATTACTCTTGTTGTTGTCTTGATAATTTTATTTAACGATTGTGCTGCCGCTGACTGTGACGTTGGCGCGTATACCAAAGTCGACGTCGACTGCGCTGCTTACATTAACATTTACATAAAAGCCGTCATTATCGAAACATAAATAGCGACAGCAAGAGCTGGAGCTGGAGCTGGAGCTCAAGCTACCGACAACTCTCGACAGGGCCAACGACAATGCCGCAAAGTGGCAACGAACTTTTGTTAGTATGCCGCGCGACTTGCTGTTGTTATTGTTGATGTTGTTGTTGCTATTGCTGTCATTGCGAGCACGTCGCAGGTGTCGTGCTTACCAAGCCAAAAACTTCTGGCATGCGGCGCAACAAATTAAACACGATTATGCGAGAGAGAGAGGGTGAATGGTGAGTGGGTGGGACAGGGGCAGACTTTGAAAGGGTTGTGTCTGCCGCATTAGCATATTGCGTCCTGGGGCCTGTCTGCGGCACTGCTGGCTGCCAACATACGCTCCGCATAATCCTGCAACGCCAGCAAGGACGTGCATCCTTTCGGCTTCAGAATCAGCCGCAGCACCAGTAGCGTTTCCAAGCCAAAATCAATTTGATACTTAATAAGCTGAAAGAAACCCGTTGACTGACACGCCCCCCGCTGTTTGGATGAGAGCATGCTGTGCCTTATATACATTTTTTTCCTCCTTTATTTTCTTTTTCCGCTGACTCAACTATGGCTGATGCTGCTCCTGCTGCTTGCGGCTGCATGTGGAGCCTTTATTTGTAATTACATAAATATGTAACGGTGTCCATGACCGTGTGTATGTGTGTGTGTGTGTGCGTGCGCGCCTTAATGCATTTAGTGCTGCCGCAGCTACTGTTGCATAAATTAATTGATTTACAAAGTGCTTGTGTGGCACTATCCTTCCGCCATCCGCCGTGCGGCCCCTTTGCACAGTTCAATTAGCAGTTGGT